TTATAATACCATTTTATATGGCATAATAATTGATCGTAATAATCCAAAGAAAATAGTATGAGGTATTACTGTATATTCAGTGTTTAAAATACTTTGATTTTAACTAAGAAGCACTCGGGTTCTACCATAGAGTCCGAGACTTGAGCCTAGAACGAAATGATTCGCTGATTCACATTCACTGTTTTGAGTGAATCACAAAATCAAAGCTGATTTTGGAATCTGGCTTTGTTTAACTGGCAATAGGTACTACTGTAGGCGACTCATATTACTAATTATAGATAAATCCAGCTAATTAAATCCATTCTAAAAGTTCTTTGGTAATGTTTTTCTTTACTTGGTGAAACTTTTAGGGTAATGACTGCCGTCATAGCCGGTAATTGCTGTGACAACTGTAGCAAAGCAGCTTTGATCAGTCAGTGTGTGAGTCAATCAAGCAGTCATTTCATAGGATATATGTATGTATATGACAAATTGCTATTTGTCAAACAGCCCTCGCATGCATTTCTACTTACGTTTCGGATAGAGAGGCGGGCGACTCTTTGCTGTCTCTGCAAGGCTGATCGCATTTGCCACGGCGTTGACCTCGGCTGCCGCTGCTGCTCCTGCTCCTACTCCTGCCGCTGCTGCTGCTCCTCCTCCTCCTGACAGCGACGGCGGCTGCGACTGCGGCAGCGGCGGCGGCTGTTGTTGCTTCATGGCTGAGCTGCCGCTGCCCAAAACGCCGCCGCTGCTAAAAAGGCGACGCTGCTGTAGAAATGCCGTTTTGTCTGCCGTTTGCTGCTTGTTTGTGTATTGTATTTATAACTATTATTATTATTATTATACTTGTATTATTTTTTATTGGCAATGAATTTTGCGCAAAAACACCGATGCTTTACAATCTGCTTAAATAGCTAAATGTTTATTGTTGATTTTTGGTGCTTATCAGCGAGATAAACGTATGTGCATAAATCTGTAGGTGTGTGTATGCGTGTGTGTTAATAGCTCCGACTGCTAAAATTTGCAATAGATGGGCTTAAGAGTTGCAAGAGCGAGCAAGAAAACATGCATATGTATTTACTTTTAGGGTTTCACACACACTAACACACCAGCGCACACGTACATACAGCTGCCCTATATTTACGTCCTGCTGACACCGTTAAATGTGTAATTGAAAGCGAATTGCCTTCAATGGCAGAGCAACAGCAACAACAACAATTACAGAAACAATAGCAAACTAACGGTGCTTTGGGCAGCTGTTCTTGTTTGCTATCCTCTCTGCGCCGCATCACCTTGACCTACACGAATTCAATAATAAATGAGCGCAGCCTGCACTATGCAGCACACACACAAACACCAGCACTTGAACAAAAACGAAATTAAAATCAAATCATTCGCACATTTGTTGTTTAACAATTTAAAACCAACAAAAAAATTATTTAACTATGTATATCCGTTGCACTTGGCTTTCAAATACCTTTCCACTTGAACAGCAAAAATATAACACAACCGACCCGCGGCTAGTGTAACCGACTATTGACGAACCGAAAATGTGTCGTGCTTATATCCCCCAGGCGCAGCCGGGCACACTGCTGTTGCCAAACTCATTGTGGCACTGTTGTTTAACAGTGGTTTTAACATTTCTGTTAACCTAACCTGTGCAATCACAATTGCAGCAATAGTATCGTATAAATAATCGCATAATTTTTAATCGATTACGCACAGCTGTTACTTTGTTTATCTTGGAGAGTTGACGATTATAACAGAGCAGCAAAAAATTCATCGTAAGTGATATCGAGATATCAAGTACGTTGTCAGCAATTTTGAATTGCTTAAATATAAGAAATATACGTTTTATTTCATGACATAGTTGCTCATAATTCAATTGAGCTTCTCCAATATGAGTTTTTCTCGATTACAATTGCAGTTTGTAAAGCTAAGTCGCTTGTCAATTGCAGCAACGCAAAGCCGGTTTCATGCCAATTCGGCATTCATCGCCAAATCCAAAGAGATAACAAAACAAATACAACAAACACAACAAAACAGACTTTGTCATTGCAGAAGCCGGAACAAAGTCAGCAATAACATAGACAACAACATGCTGAAATACCTGAATCAAAGCGAGGCCATCAATGTGGACCTGGAACTCTTTAATGAGTACAAGTTCAGTGTGGATCAGCTAATGGAGCTGGCGGGCCTCAGCTGTGCGCATGCCATAGCCAAATGCTTTCCGGCGGACCGCTTCGGACGTGTGCTCGTCTGCTGTGGCCCGGGCAACAACGGTGGCGACGGACTGGTGTGCGCCCGCCACCTGGCATTGATGGGCTACTTGCCCGTCCTCTACTACCCGAAGCCAACGCCCAAGCCGCTGTACGAGAATCTCGCCCATCAATGCAAGCGCATGGAGATTGAGTCAATTTCTGAATGTCCTAGCGTAGCGCTAGCGGCTGAGTGCTACGACTTGATTGTGGATGCCCTGTTTGGCTTCAGCTTTAAGCCACCCGTGCGCGCCGACTTTGTGCCAGTCGTGGAGCTGCTGCAGCAGACGAAGCTGCCCATCGCCAGGTCTTTAAACCAACTAAAACTTAGCTAAGTCCTGCCTAATCTCTCTTTTCCCATATTTTTGCCTAGCACAGCGTGGACATACCCAGCGGCTGGGATGTGGAGGCGGGCAAGCTAAACGAGTGCGACATGGAGCCGACGCTGCTCATCTCATTGACGGCGCCCAAGCTCTGCGCCAAGCACTTCAAGGGCAAGCATCACTTCCTGGGCGGACGCTTCGTGCCGCCCGCCCTGCAGCGCAAGTACGAGCTGAATCTGCCCACATATCCGGGCAATGAGATGTGCCTGGAGCTGTGAACAATTACGGGAATACCCGAATCATAGATTGCTAACTGTTTTGTAACTGGTCAAATCTGGAACTAAAGTCTGAGAATGTTGGATTTATTTAATGTTTATATTTGATTAATATTAATTTACATACGCATGAGAACATATATACATATATGTATGTACTTAAAAGGATAAGATCTCGACCTCTATTTGTACAGGCGATTGTAGTTCTTGCGTCGACGATCCTCCTCGAAGTTGTTGTTGCGCGCCCACTCCTTCAGGTTGCCCTTGGAGCGCAGCATGGCCGACTTGGAGTCCACATCGCGCATGACAAAGGGCGAGAAGCCCGCAATGTAATCATCATCCAGGGCATTCGTCTTGGTTTTCGCCACGCGCGATGGCATCTGGCGCGGCATGGGCTGATCCTCAAAGAGAATGGGATTGCGCGAATGCTTGCCGCCTTGGAAACGTGGCAGACTCTGGTTCTTGTACTTGGCGGTCAGCGGGCGTCGCGTATTGATGTGGATCACCTGCTTGCCATTCTCGTCCAGGCTGATGGCGACGCGCTTCAGCGTCTTGTTGCCACAGTTCGGGCAGAAGACCTTGGTCATGATGCTGGTCGTCTTGTAGCAGGCGTAGCAGCGCAGTATGTAGGTGCGCAGCTGCTTGATGATGCGCCCATTGAGTGCAGCCAGCTGCAGGTTGAGCTGCTTCAGCACATTCTGCAGCGCATAATCTGTGGTCATGCACGCCACCGGCGGCACAATGTCCGTTTCCACCTTGCCCTCGAGCGCCTTTTTCGCCTTCTTAATGTTCGAGTGCGTGATCCAGCCGTCGTCGCCAACGTCATCATCGTCGTTGCCGATGTTGGAGGCATTGTTATTGCTGCCAGGCTGGTCTTCTTCTTCGTCTTCGTGTTGCGGCTCTGCCACCAGAAGATCACAGGTTGCCTTCTCCTCGTCCGCCGATGGAGCGCATTTCAGCTTTTCGAACAGCTTGTCTAGCTCCTCCTGCGTTAAATCGTCCCCATCATCCTCCTCCTCCTGCCCATCCTCATTGTCTTCATTTGCTGCTGTGTTGCTCTGTGGACTCGTTATCTGTTTGCCTTGCAGCTGCGCTTCGATAGCTTCCTTAATGTGATCCACTTTATCGCTGCTTTTATCCAACTGTTGCCCTTTGTCATCCTCGTTGCCACCTTCATTGTCATCTTCCCCCTCTTCTCCGTCGTCGTCTTCCTCCTCCTCCTCCTCCTCCTCGTCATCTTCGTTTCCCTCGGGCATATACCAGCCCACCAGCCGTTTGTTGTTGCCGTCCTGCATCTCTTCAGGTTTGTCCTTGGAGGCAATCACCTGTGAGACGACTGGCTCGGTGCGCAGATGATCGGTGCCCAGCGTATCCGCCTCCAGCTCGTATGTGAGCGAAATCACCTTTAAATCGATGCCAGACAAGCTGGCATAGTCGCCGGTTTTCTTAGCGAATTCGACGCAGTGCTTGACGCTTTCCGGGCGTGGCTCTCGCACCTGCAGATCAAACGGCAGCACGCATAGGCGGCGTATCTGTCGCTTATTGCGCACCTCGGCCACCACCTCTGGCACGGTGAGCACATTTTCGGCGTATTCCTTAATAACACAACAACAAAAAACACATATAATAATTACTAACATAGTCAAATGTAGCACTTACATTCAGTGGCACTGCATTGATAAATGCTGTCGTATCCGCTACGAGATATTTGATTTTAGTTCTAGTTTCACTCATTTTTTGTCGTTCATAAATAGCTCGTTCAGCCAACACTGGGAGGAATAACAATTGCACGTGTTATTCCCATGCATACGACATATTAAAAGGTTACTCGTAAATAGAACACTTACTGTTATGATTTGGAAAACTACGTCACAAATATAATTCCGTTGATCAAACGGTTCATTTTTTAGGTCAAAACTATTAATATATCTAATTAAGATGTATATATAGGATTGGTATCCGTATTTATATTAGCTTTTCATGAATAAATAATAATTATTCACTCCAAACAAACAGTGACATCACATCATTTCTGTAAATGTTACCTGCAATGCAACCTATACAAAACTACCACACTATGATTCAGAGCCATGCCACAAAGTTATCGAGCTCGATTGCTTTAACATATCGATATAATATCAACATACATGGCAACGTTCATCTCTAGTTTTCAAGCCAAAAATGGCGAAGTGCGTGCTCTTTTTTGTTGTTCGGTTTTGATTTTCTTGTCGATTAAAGACCGCACAAACTTATATAAAACCGATCTAAAGCAATTAAAAAAGTAGGTTAAACAATAATCAGCATACAATCATTTGTGTAGCTTTTTATATAAAATCATTCGTGCGTGAGTTGCAGAGAATTGCCATTTGAAGTATCGCTAATGTGGAATCAGTGGCCAGTCGCAGCGGTGCCAGCTGCGCCAATAGCTGCACCGCCGCCACAACCTGCCATACCGCCTCCACTGCCAGATGCACCACCGCCGCCGCCACCATCAGACTCCGCGACTCCTGCCCCCGCTGCCGCAGCTGCTGCCGCACCATACATGCCCGCAAGCGGAGCTCAAGCTGCTACCAATCCGTATGAACAGTATACGGCTGCGCAATATGCGGCAATGACGCCGGAGCAGCAGTACGCGCTGCAGCAGCACTGGCAGCAGTGGCAGACCTACCAACAAGAGTACGCCAAGTGGCATGCCCAGTATGGAGAGCAGGTGAGTTGTGCTTATTTAATATGTATTCTAACGTTAAAACACGATTCTATTTGTGAAACAGTACAAGCGGGAAATGGCTGCTGCAGCAGCTGTCAGCACAGTGCCTACGCCTGCACCGGTTGCAGCGCCCATTGGGCCAGTCGCTGCACCCGTGCCCTCGGCTGTGCCTGCAATCGGGCCAGTTTATCCGCCAACTCCCATTGGTCCACAGCTGCCCATCCAGCAACCCATACAGCCATACTTTGCACAGCCGCAAATGCAGCCAGTGGCGCCACAAATGCCACCGCCGCCCCAGTCGCAGACGCAGATGCCTGGCAAGATAATGGCTCAGCCTCAGATGTATAATCAGCCGCCTCCGCCACCGCCGCAGACCTACCAGCAGCAGCAGCAGCCGCCGATGCACCATCAGCAACAACCACCACCAAATCATTGGCAACAGCAACCGCCGCCGCCGGCTCGATTCAATCAAATGCCGCCCGGAGGCTACAATCAGCCGCCCACTTCTGGGGAACCCAATATGTTTCCCAATCTACAGCAGCCGCCGCCGTCGTTCATGCAGCCGCCTCCGCCTGTGGCGTCGTCTGCGGCCAATCAAATGGATGCCAATTGGTCAAAGGGACCACCAGGCAAGGGCAGTGGAAACATGAGTGAAGCGGAGCCACGTCCGCGCTGGGATGGGCCACCACCAGATGTGGGACCGCAGCAACAGCAACAGCAGCAGCAGGGCGCAGCGCGCAATAATCGCTGGCAAGGCAAGGAACCCAGCAACAACAACAGCAACAATAACAACAACAACAATAATAATAACAATAACGGCAACAACAACAACAATCAAGGCCCTAATAGGCCAGGTCAATTCGGCAACCGGCGCAACTGGCAACAGACTTCTGGCAACAACAACAACAGCAACAACAACATGAATCGGAACAATCCGTTCAGCAGTGCTCCACCAGGGCATTTTGGGCCAGACGATGGGGGTAAAGATTCTACTGGATCTGGGCCTTCCAACTCTGGTAACTTTGGTGTATCGAACAGCAATTACGGCGGAAACTTTGGCAATAATGGCACAGGCCAAGGACCAGGTGGTCCACCCAACTTTGGCAACAACAACAACAACAATAACAATAATAACAATAATAATCGTCGCAGCGGTCGATGGGAGCCAAATCGGTCGCATCAAGGCGGCGGTAACTTTGGCCATCCGAACAATAGCTTCAATGATGACGGCTTCAATCGAAACTTTAATCAGCAGCAGGGCAAGCAGCAACAGCGTGCGCCGGACTTGGACGAGGCCAGCTTTGATCGGCTGTTCGATCAATGGGAGAAGCAGTTCGAGGACTGGAAGCGTGCCAATGCCAACCATCCGGATCGCGATGAGTATCGGCGCTATGAGGAGGAGTTTGAGAAGCAGCGACGTCGGATTGCCGAGCGCCGTGAGCAGATGCGACGCCGACGTCAGGCGCAGAATCCAAACCAACAAGGGCCACCAGAGGGACCACCACAAGGACCCCCATTTCATCGGGAACAACAGCAGGAGGCCGATGGCCATTACGATGGGGAGCACTTCGAACGAACGCAGCAGACAAATGCGCAACCGAAACCGGGCCTGAAGCAGGAAAACGACATGGAGCCGCAGCAAGAGTCGGCCAATGGTACAAATCCAGATGAGTCCCATTACTACTCACCGCAATCCGAAGCGGATGGAAAAGCGATGCCGTCGGGCTCACGCGCTAGCAAGGAGCCGCCAAAGTCGGCGGCTACCCAAAAGACGCCGCAGGACGTGGAGGCAGCGTCGACAACAACAGCAACAAAAACAACAACAACAACAACAACCACCACAACACAACCAAATAAAGCTCATCCACTGGGCAAGCGCAAGAATAACGCTGGCGGCGGCAACACCTCGACGCCAGCCAAGCAGACCAAACAGGAGAATATTTTGATCATTTCACTGGACGACGATGACGACGAGGCCGAGGCACAGATCTCTTCGGGCAAGGGGGCAGACACAGCTGGCGACACGCCCATGAAGAACATATTCAAGAAGAACGATGGCATACCGGGACTGGATTTTATTGCCGACGGAACTGCTGCGCCGCCGCCGCCGCCCACTGAATCAGGGAATTCAAAGGGCGCGGATAACAATAAGAAGATACCATCTCTGTTCGATGTGGTCATCGATAAGCCGCGCATATCGCCTACCGAGCGCACTGCCAGCGATGCGGAGAAGAAGGAACAACCAGCGTCTGTCAGCGAACCTCTGCCGGATAATGTTAGCCATGTGCTCAAGGATCCCGAGTTTATGAACAATTTGTCGCAGGCCCTTGCCCAGGCGCAGGGGCGAGAGCGTGACCAGCAGCAGGATAAGGAGCAAGGACAGCAGAAGTCAAGCGAGAGCAACGAAAATCCCAGCAACAACAACAAGGCCAACAGCAACAACAACAGCAATGCCGACGGCGACGGACGCGCCCTGAGCTTTGCCGAGTGGCAGAGGAAGAAGAATAATCAGAGAGCTGGCTCGCAGGACGGACAGTCGCACAACATGCCGGATAATGGCGGTCGTGATAGTTTTGGACCCGGTTCAGGTCCAGGTCTAGGCCCAGGTCAGGGTCCGGGTCCGGATCAAAGAGCACCCCATGGATTTGGACCTAATAATGGGCCGCCATTTGGGCCTGCCGGTGCGCAGGTCATGGGACCGAACTTCATTGACTTTAATGGGCCCAACGGTCCGCCCAATGGACCCAACTTTGGAGGACCTAACTTTGGTGGTCGTCAAGGACCCGGACCAGGACCATTCGGTGGCTGCCCTGGACCCAATGGGCCATTTGGACGTAATTTTGGTCCGGGCGGACCAAATAATCCCAATTTCAATGGACCTGGACCCAATTTCGGCCCCAATTTCCGTGGCAATGGGCCCGGCAACGGTCCCGGCCCGGGTCCATTCCGACCAAATTTCTGTGGACCGAATGGACCCGGTCCAAACTTTGGCGGTCCCGGACCGTTCGGCGGACCAAACTCACCCGCAAACTTCGATCGAAACTTTGGCCCACCAGGCCCCAATCATCCGAACTTCAATGGCCCCCACAACAACAAAAACAACTTCAACGAAAATCCATTCAGACGCAATAGTGGAGGACCAGCGCCCAACTTTGATGATGGACCCGGTTTCGGTCCACGTGGCAAGTCACATCAAAAGAACTTTGGACAGCAGCGCAACAACTTTGGCAGCGGAGGAAACAACAACGACAACAAGCCTTGGCCTGACGGGTATGTGTCATTAAGTTGTACCTAACTATATATGTCTCTCTCTCTCTCTCTCTCTAATTCACTGACCACCCAGACTCTCACTCTCGTTCTTTATCGCGTGTCTTTCTCATTTGTATTTGTAGTAAATTTTGGGGGTTTGAGTAGAATTTCTGTAAACATTCCGTCTGAGTATGAAGAGCATTATAAAAGCAAAAGTATTTAACAATTGTCCTCATTTTGTCTGTCTTACTAAGCCCGAACTAATTAGGATTTTAATTTCGATATAGTTCACTGTATGAATCCGGGGTAATGGGGAGGAACCCGGGAAAACTTGATCTCCTTTATCAAACAATTTCTAATAGATCTTAGCCTTAATGCATTATATATTATATTTTATTCTCAACTTCCACGTCAGGTACCTTTCCTTTATTTATTGATGTTATGTCTTAAGACTTAAGACTTAAGATTGGTATAGTTTTATTATGATTGCTGAATATTTTTAAACTTGCTTACATAGATTGTCTTAAGACAAACAGATCCGCTTTAAGACTAGAATAGTATAGCGATATTCTTATCCGATCGATAATAAATTGATTTTCATAGATCTTAATTTTTTTATTGAGAGACATGGGGCTCGACATACAACTCAATTCAATAAATATAATAATTTCTATTCTAATGAGATGAAACCACAAACAAATTAACATTGAATGAATGAAAACCAACTTTAAACTATTGGACTCCAGCCCCAATTTAAACTTTTAGCTAGCATTAAGAAAACTCCGTCTAAATTATCAAAATCGAATATAAAACTTGCAATTGTTTATTAAATACCTTACAAATCGACAACAAAGTCTCCATAATGACCGAGATTTCTAGGTTTGAAATCAATATGCAAACAATTGTGACTAACTTATTAAACTTGAATGATTTGAGAAAGTTTTTGATTGACATGAAGTCCAGACGAATATTTTTGTTCAATTTATGATTTTAGGAATGTTTTTCCAATCCCACAGTTAGTTAACCATAAGTCTCAGTGACACTATCTCAATTACAAGCTGTATTCAAATGATTTGAAAGTATGATAAGAATATCTCTCGTAAGGCAGAACCATCCGATAGTAGTCGAAATTGACCCGCCGTCCTTTATAAATCTGTTCTCATATACGTTTTCTATGTTTGTAGCTTAAATGTGCAGGCATTTTGTTGATCTCGTCGTTAATGCTGGAATTTCGATTCCTTACCCGTTTTCTCTTTTTCTCTTCTACTTTTATGCACCCAAATATGTATATAAATAAAAAACAACAAAATAAAAACTAAAATTTAAATTACAATCAATCGAATCAATCAAATCACACAACAAATATATATCTTATATTTATTACAAAAATCAATTGACATGGCTATGAATTTCACTTGATCCATGCTCAATGCATATATGTATATATATATATAAATCCATTTATATATGTATATATATATTATAGCAATCGGTCGTTTCGTGGTAGGGGTGACAACTCCAACAGGAGCAATAGAAGCATGCAGCAGCAGCAACGCGGACCCAGGTCAAGCTAGATACGTGCCCTTCTTCTCGATTCTCCAAGCGCATATCTAAGATACAATAACACAACTGAAGAAATCAATGTTAACAAAAAGTCAATATCTCTCTATCTCTGTCTATCTATCTCTCTCTCTCTCTCCCTCTGTCAGTTATTTTATATACACTACTATTTATGTAAATCATTAACAGCTAAAATCTCGTAACTAATTTTTAAGATCTCCAAAACTTAATTATTTTGTTTGTTGTCAATAGAAATCGATGAATTTAGTTACTTGAATTTTTATTGAATATTTTTGAGTATACTACTTGAAGTTTTCACTCTATCGAGGTGTATTGTTAATCCTCAGTTATCTGAAGCCACGAAGTGCAGTTTGATTTCTAGAAATTCCCCATGTATTTAGCATAATTAATACCTATTTACATACACATAATATATATCTATAAATATGGTACACAAATACCTAAAGTTATGCAGAGATATAAAATGAAATAACAAAAAATACATTGAATTAATAAAATGATTTTAAATATTATATACAATGCTGGCTTGCATTTTCATATGTCAAGAAGGGTGAATATAATGGATAGAACTATGGGATTATTTATTTAAAATTTACTTTTAGAATCCGTCCGGAACTTTGAATTGAATGTCCCATGCAGTCCGATTTCCAATGTCTTGAAATTACTGGATAGTATTGATGTTATTGAATAACTTGTTCCAAGATTTCTTCTAATACTCTTCAAATCTTGATCAACTCCTCCTCTGATACCGTTCTGATCTATTTATCTATCTCAATGAAAATCCCAGTTTCGAAAACATAAGACAGCTTCTGGGGTATAGGTCTGGGGAGTACGGTGTCCGATTAGTGAGGAAATTCTTAATTCCATTGCATTAGTTTCCAAAGGAATAGTTATTTTTAATGAAATTTACCATGAACTTAATATAAATTCTAAATGCAAATAACTCGTAAATCGTACATATGACACGCCCTATTATATTAGTTTAATCCCTGCCTCCTCCGAAAGGCTCGCCCCATGCTAAATGCTTTCTGAGCTTTCCAAGCTGTGTGTCGTCTCTCACACCCAAGCAATATCTATCTATTGACACAATTACTATTGACATTCATAAGTCCAGAGCCGATTTTATCTTAGTTATGTAAGCACTATTAATACAAACACTGAATACTTGAAGAGTTACCCGAAATATAACTCATTCTATGCAAATTTTGCGCTGATCCCCATAAAACAAACCCCTAATATTATTTAACACTAATTGACAAAGCCTGAACTTCGGCAAGAGTCGAAGATTGGATGTGGCTTAAAGTATTTTGGTCTGATTGTGATATTACGATATTAGTCCTTCGGTTGTCCGATGTGAGATGGGCGATTACTGTGAAAAAATTATAGGCTTATATATTATTGATATTCTTGTCTGTTTGCCAAATCCGCTCTGGTGTCCTCCGTCTGTGCTTAAGAATATAAATTATGTAATACCAAAAAAGTCTGTTTATTCTGTTATTCTATCAACTTAACTTTTTAAGAACCTTTTGATTGTTACGTAAGCTTGGAAAACTGTCAACTTCGGCATAGCCGAATATGATGTCTACCTCAACTATATTTTTACCATCTGGATGAATATACTCATATATATTACGTATATATATAAATTGACTTCGGCTTTAGCCGATGCTATACGTTCAATGAACTGTCTTAGAGTGCATTTATCCTGTTCACTGGACACACAACAGGAACTCAGAGTCTCTCATCTTCGCCCCCATTAAGTTTGACCCTGCCCATTGCTCTGCCCCTGCCCCATGCTCTGCCTCTGCCTCTGCCTCTGCCTTGTCTCTTGATCTGTTATGTAAATATCTTGAAGCTACAATTGCTTGCCCCATGACAATAGCAATATATTTGTAAAAGTTTAAGTGTTTCTTTCTGGTTTAAAATTATGAAAAAAAAAAAAAAAAAAATACAAAAAAAAAAAAAAAAAAACTAAACCGATTAAAAACCAACAAATAAAAAAAATGCAACAAAAACTGAAAAAAAAAACACAAACAAACATAAACGAATAACAAATAATTGATTAAAAAAACTGTTAAACAAACCAAACCTCGACCCTGCGTCACGCAACGTTGCAGCGCGGAGCAAACCAAAGACGAGATGCGAGCCGGCAGCAGCGAGTCCGTCTATCGTCCGATGCAAGTGTTTGACTATCAGAACAGCAGCAACACCGCCGCCAAGGTCATCGACTATGGCCACAAGTCGGCCGATGGGGCTGTCAATCGGATGGCTGCTGTTGACCCAGGACCAGGACCAGCACCAGGCCCAAGACCGGGACCAGGACCAGGATCAGGACCAGGATTGGGACCGGGACCGGGACCAGGACCAGGCCAAGCTCTGCCAGACTTTAGGCCGGGTGTTACCTTTGACTATGGACATGCTTCGGTAGCTGGACCAGCTAGTGCTAGGCCCCTCAATCGGAATGCTAACCAGAAGTGTGGCAACAACAACACCAACAACAATAACAACAATAACAATAATAATAACAACAACAGCAACAGCAGCAAGAGGAAAAACAAAAGGAAGAATAAGAATCGTCAGCGTGCAATGCAGCAGCAACAGCAGCAGCAACAGCAGCAACAACAACAGCAGCAACAACAACAACAACAACAGCAGCATGTTGCGGACTCGTTTATGATGCCCGACCCTGAGGTAGGTATCAAAGGTGGCTAATCCCGCTGCAAGCTATCCACAATGGGCGAATATAATGTCATGTCGTTCTGTATATATCCATTAGTTGAATGGCCAGCAGCTGGCCGTTGGCAAGCTCGATGATCTCGAGGACATATCCGATGGCGAGGAGTAAGTTTCAGTTTGATATACGTAAAGATGCATTTTGCTAATGCCACAAATTGATTGCAGTAATCTAACGGATTTAATGCGCGCGGAATCGCCACCACCGCCACCGCCGCCAATGCTCATCAGGCCGCCAGTTCAGGAGCAGGTGCCACCGAAAGCTTTTCCAGCCAATCCACAGCGTCGCATGCTGAGCGAACCACCCACCGCTCTGTTCCCATCGACAGCAGCGGCCAATCAACATATACCAGAGCCAACGGCAGATGCCAGTTTGCTGGAAATGAATATACCAACGCATGAGCATCGCAATACCATATCCATTGATGAGGTGCTGCTGCCACCGGGTCGTCTGATGCGTCCGAAACGCATTTGCATCATATTGCGTGGACCGCCGGGCTGTGGCAAGTCGTATGTGGCACGACTGATCAAGGAGAAGGAGCTGGAAATGGGCGGCGCCAGTCCTCGCATACTCAGCATCGATGATTACTTCATAATTGAGAATGACTACGAGGAGAAGTGCCCCAAGTCTGGCAAAAAGGTGAGCGTGCATGGGTGGACAATGTCTCTCTGAAAATTGTATTCATTCGTGTTCCATTTCCAGATACCGAAGAAGGAGTTACTCTACGAGTATGATGAGGCCATGGAGGAGACCTATTTGCAATATCTGATCAAATCGTTCAAGAAGACACTTAGCGACAATCTCTATGACTTTGTTATTGTTGACTGCAACAATAATTCGTTGCGTTCACTTAACGAGTTCTATTGCAACGCTAAAGACTCGAATTTTGTGGTACGCAGCTCAAAAACTGTCTCCCTCTCCCTCTCCCTCTCCATCTCTGTCCTGCTCTTTTCTACTCTCTCTCACTCCCTCTCTCTCTCTCTTTCAACCTGTCTCACTCGAATCGATGCTGATGGCTTTCCTTTTCCCAACAGCCCTACATTGTGGACATGCACTGCGATGTGGAGACGTGCCTGGGACGTAACAGCCATCAGCGTAGCGAGCACGATATACGTGCTGTGCTGGACAATTGGTGCACTACGCCGATGCAGTACATTAAGCTGGATGTCTCGTCACTGCTGGAGAACGTTGTTGAGATGGAAGATGTTGAGAACATGGCAACGGTAACTATGATGCTGTAATGCAATCTACGGCCCACCACAGCTCACGGCCACGGCCATAGCCGGCAGCCTGATCATTCGTCGGGCCAACAGCAAATTTGGGTGTGCGTGTGTGTGAGTGTGTGTATCTGTGTGAGTGTGTGTGTGTGGCATTACCGCCGGTGTATGACACTGGCAGTCTACAATAGTAAATAGTACATAATACTTGTGTTTACAATTATATATCTATTTATATCTATATCTAAATCAATATTTATATAGTTGAATTATATATATATACGAGCAGTCTGTAGTGTAAGCACGAGTATAGCTTAGTTGGCAATGCCAATGGCCACGACAGCTCTTTAGATTAAGATTCTCTTGAACTCGTCTCTGCAATATTTATACATGACTGTGTGTGGCATATGTATGTATTGCGTACATGCGTACATAAATGCTGTAGCTGTATATTGTTGATATATACATACATATGCACGACTATACAAATGCAAAACTGTAAAACTGTTCAATACAAATAGAGCATTGCCTTCTTGTACCAAAATATTAATTATTTTATCGAAAAATGCCCGCATCACGAAATATTTTGAAATTAAGTAACTAAGTAAATGGTTTTTGGAGCGCTGGTCAAGCAAACATGTTGTTGATTTATTGTGGCTTGTTCATTGCAGGATGATAATGCCAATAGTGCGGAGCCAGCAACCGAGGAGGGTGCCAGCGATTCCCAAGCCGCTGCAGCTGCCGCTGCCCCCGATGAGGACAGCAATAGCGCTGATGCGGCCAACGATGTAAGTGTCTCAAGCATTAACCAAATCATGGTTAATTGCTCCCACTGTGGGCATAAGCTCTCTGGCTCTCGTGCTATGTGCTTTATGCCTCTCTCTCTCTCTCTATCTATCTCTATCTCTTTTACTCTCTGCCTCTGCCTCTGTCTCTGTCTCTGTATTTGTGTGTGTGGCTGTAGCTAATCCAAAAATATATCTATATATGTTCTTTTATTGTACGATTTTCTTGGCATGTGTGTTGGTTGTGTAAAGTGCGGCTTTCTGAAAAGCAAGTGGGAAAATGATACCACGGAGGAAAATCTGGGTAAGTGCCGTCAAGTTCAAAGCCATTCTCCTTTGCTTTATGCCTAATGTCCCTCAACTTCAGCCCGTCTCGATGGCACGAAGCGCCTGATGCACAAGCGCAAAGCCGCTAGCATGGCTGACTATTTGCAGCTGGATGAATGGGAGCCGCCCACAGGCAGCTCGAATGGCAAGAAACGCGTAAGTGCCAGATGGCATCTATTTATACAGTATTTGCCTAAAGCTCGCCTATCAATGCTCTCTAGGTACGCTGGGCGGACATTGAGGAAAGGCGAGCCCAGAAAAAAATGCGTGCGATTGGCTTTGTGGTGGGGCAAACCGATTGGAAGCGCATGATGGATCCCAATGCGGGAAATCGTGCACTCAACAAAACCAAGTACATTGAACGCGTGCACAAAAGGCGCTAATCAGGCTGGATCCATTTCGATCCGATTTGGCAACGGGCGCCAACTGAGTGACATGTCACAAATGGAATCGTCTATGCCATGCGACCTCATCAAATTGGATTTATAGCTTAATTTTTTTTTTTAGTTTTTTTTTTTTTTTTAAGCTTTTTTGTTAATTGCTGATCGTATTCTAGTTAGATAGTTGGTTTTCATTTGTTAACACAATGCTCGCATGCATCCAAATGTCGCGTGTCCCAGCGAACAAATAGCAAACCAACAATGCAATCATCTACCATTTCCAATACGAATTGGGCTCAATTTCCAACACATCATGCATGCATGACAAACAAGTATGTATTCTATTATTACATAATTACTAATAATAGGATGTAGGCAATTATCAATGATGTCAAACTCCTTGACTTTATGCATTTACAGTCCCCACTGAACTCAGCTTATTTATACAATTACATTTTATCTATTGTGTGTGTATTGTTTCTTTGTGTTGTTGTAACAAATATTTGTTTGTTTGTCTGTTTGTTTTTTCCTTTTTCTTTTTGAGTTATGCTCTTTAAAAACCATGCATTCAAGCACTTCAAAAAGCAAACTATTTATAAGAATAAAAAAAAAAATTTAGTATAAATATATAATGTAGTATAAATATAAAATGTAGTCTAAATATATATTATTGTGTACAGCCTGAGACAAGCGAAATCGATGTGTATATTAGCAAAGTTTTAAAATTAGATGATTAAGCAATGTGAAGTCTTATGTAAAATACTAGAGTGTATTACTGAAATTATCTATATACATATGTATACATATTTTAATTGTTAGCATATAACTAGATGAATTACTCTGAATTACTGACACATATTGAAATTAAAGTGCAACTTAAAAACAACAAAATTATTGTTATATTTAAGATGGTTTTTTTTTTTTCATTCGAGTTGTGTATGAGAGCTCGACTAAAATGCTGCAATGTTATCGATATCGATACTATATTTTTCGATCTTAAGAGCAAGTTCTGAAAGTACGCAAAAGTAATAATTATATATGATTGATATATGTATTTATTTATATATAAATATGTATGTATATACTTATATATACATTTAAAAGCCATTGATGATAGCAGCCGTGCTTTGATTGCAGAGTATCTCTAGGCCGTTAACTTTTGAATAACTCAACTTTGCACATGGCTAGATTAATTCTTGACTTTTCTGTTTAGTTGATTGAACTTGTCGAATACGTCAGGAATTGGCAGTTTGAACTGTTACTCACGACTCAAGGTTAAGAAGTTGCGCAACTTTCTAGCATGGATCGAGCACGCGATGTTCGCAAGTTTCGAAACGATAACAGCAACAAGAACAAGAACACGAGGAAGAGGAATGAGAGCAACAACAATAACAGCAGTGGTAAGAGCAGCAGCAGCAACACAAACAACTGTGTCGTAGCTATCGCCACCCTTCAACACCCATACACAGACACACACGCACACACATGCAAGCGTTGCGTCGCTAGCGGCATGCGCGTGAGTGTCAAAAAAGGAGTGCGGGCCAAAAGGACAAACGCACACTAGCACCAACACTAACACCAACACACAAGTCACATTTCGAATTCGCATTCGCATTCGCATTCGCGAAGCTGAAGTCGTGAGTCAGCCGAGGGCAGGCAGAGCCAGCCGTTCAGTCGAGGAACGTAACTCGAACGCAACGGACGCTCGGGCCGCGCAGCCCCAGAGAAAACACGAGCAACGGAGCAAAATAGCAACAACTGAAACAGCATTAATAATAATAAAACAAAAACAAAAACAACAACAGAAACAACAATAAATAGTGTGTGCAGCAAGTTGAAAGAGAGTGCGAAAGAGAGCGAGAGAGCGATAGAAAGGGCATATTGAAAGGCCAAAAGGAAACAATCTAGTTCTTGTTTTGCTATTTTTTGTTGTTTGTTTGCTTTTTTTTTTTTTTATTGTCAGCTTGTCATTTGTTTAATTAATTGAGTGAACGTGTGTGTGTGTGTGTGACTGTGTTTGTTTGTGTTGGTTGCTGAATTCTGAATTCGCCCAGAGGCGAAGTGGAAGTTACGTCAAAAGGAGCCAACGGCTAACAACAGCCAACAGCCAACAGCAACAACTACAGCTGTAGCAACTTGTACAACAGCAACAGCAACAGCAAAGGCAACAATAACAATAACAAGCGACGCGCCAAACTGTTTTTGGCCGCCTTTGGCGCGTCGTCCTTTGCCCATTGTTGTCACGAGTTACCATTTGTTGTCTTTATTTTTGTTGTTGTTATATAGTTGTCGTTGTTGCCATTGCCATTGTTGTTGCAGTTGTTGTTTGCTTACATTTGATATTACCTATTTGCTGAATTTTTTTTTTTAGCCGGCATCGGCAACGTCAGCGGCTACGTGGCTCGTGCTTATATAAAGTGTAATATGGAAGCATGTCTTCCACATCCAGCTCCGTGCTAGCGCTGTCATCGTTCAATTTATTATTTTTCACCCAAGGTAAGGCAAACGGAATATAATACGCATAACTGCCAGCTTTATATAATCTGCAAAGATACAAGAAATTGTCTTCGGGCACACCGAAGCCTATATACACTAGCCGAGGCTCATGACTCGTGACTCATGAACTGAAATGATCAAGCAATGAGTCTTTGATGTATATAACATCTCTAATGTTTGTAATGTATTATGAAAGCAATTTAGTTTAGATTAGATTATTGGAAATTCTCTTACTCTTACTCTCTATCTATTCTTCATCTTTATATAATTAAAGTACTAGATCGTAATTAGATCTCGAGTGGTATCTAAAAGAAAAGAGATGATACCTTTATATATGTGTTATATCATAGAATTGGACGAAGAGTCTGATCTATATTACCTTGTAGATGTATAACATATTTATTTTACTCTCTACTTTTTCTATCTATTCTTCATCTTTATACGATCAAAGAACTAGATCGCAATTAGCTAGAGATCTTGCCTATGATAGTGATATCTGACGCGTATGAGTACAACCTAGCAATCTTAAATAATTTGTGGTCACTGATCTATGATAGATATAATATATACTTATATAATATATAGGTATATATTATATCTCATATCTTATATTTATTATATCTTTTATTTCTTTGACACCTTATTATTCTTTTACTCTCTCTACATATTCTTCATATGATGAAAGATCTAGCTCGCTATTCGATATTGTTTGATCGGTCAAAGATAAAAATTGCCTAGCCAGAGCCAGAGCCATAGCGATACATATAAGTATGAACAGCCTAACGACGCATTGAGTTGTGGTTGCTGATTTATAATATAGATTATAAAAGATATATGTATTCATATATCAGTCTAAATATGTACACCCGCCCATCTATAATACCCCTGGGTAAGTGCATTGTCGAGCAATAATAGCTCACAATAGCCGCTGTTTGCGAATCGATCAAATATTCTGTCTAAATATAAAAGTCGCAATTGTTGCTCATACGCCGTGTGGTACGTCACGGTACCTGCGCCCGCAACTGGCTATCAAGCGTTTCCATAATTAATAAATCAGCTATAAGTTTTGGCCGCAAAAGCCCAGCGACGCAACGTGACCCAGTTTGGCTTCGCATTGGCCGGGCCAATTAACTTGGCCCATGTGAATCAATCCCTAACAACCTGCCCTTGCCCTGGGGGAGTTGCTAAGCTGGGACAAAGCTGAAGGCTCTCTGCATGCTGTATCATTAATTTTAAGGTTGCAGCTGACTTAGCTCCGCTGATGATGTGAAATAAGCTCGGTGATCAAGTATACGACGAGTAACACCAGGGTAGGTTGAAAACAACATGAAATGGGTTAAGGACAAAGCTAAGCAGGCATATTAAACAAATACCTGCATTTTCTTTATATTTGTATATACTTTAATAAGTATATTTGTTTATTATCAAAAACTTGGCTGCTTGGGTATAATATTTATAGTTATACATATTATTTAATGGAACACATGAACATAAATATGTAATTCAGTAAGGGACGATTTGTTTCTTCTTCATCTTATCTAATCATACTTTTAAATGGTATAGGGTATTGCTGTAGTCTACCAGCACATTTATTTGACCATATTTACTATTTGGGCCAGATACATAGATAAACCAATTCTCTTTGTTCATTTGATTGATTGCATTTTCGTATTAAGGATCGGGTGTCCAGCAGTTGAGCAGCTCTCGAATTGAGCTCAGTGCAATCTGTAGCAAGTTAAGCAACTGAAAGTTATCAAAGTAGAGCCGATGGCCTCAGTAGCAAGTGCATCATTTTTAGTTAAGTTTAGCTTTATATTAGCTCTAACGTCAAATAAATAAATGTATACAAAAATTTGTAAAACATATTTATCAGTCTTCTTCGCCCCATTCAGTCATTCTGTTAAGTTGAGTGAGGTATCTTGTAGTCGAGCAGCATATTTACCATCTGGGCCAAATGTCTGTCTAATTATGTTTGCACAACTCATTTATTACTTTTTTATATTCATTCATCATAAAATTGAAATTTATTCGTATCTAGTCTCCCCTTTCATTTGGATAGGGTATTTTGTAGCCGAGAAAAATTTTGACTTTTGCATAATATTTCTGTTTGTCATATTTGATTTATTGCTTTATATATTTATTTATATGGGACACTTTATTTTTAATAAATTTACGGAATACATAAGTGTTGTGTTTTACATTTTTTTTTTATTTTTATTTTATTTATTTTTTTTAAATTTAAGAGTACAGGACACATTATCCTTTTCTACTTAAACATAATATTTTATGCAATGGCAATTGATTTGTTAGAATTTAACATAAGTAGAGGGGAGGGAGGGGGGGAGAGAAAGGTATTTATATTATATTAATTTATTTTTTTAATAAAGGCCGGGTATCTGGCAGTCAAGCAAAGCTCATCTTGAGCCGAATGAAATCTTCAGCAAATGAAGCAACTGAAATTTAAATATATATTCACATAGATATGTATGTATGTGATATAAGTCTTAGTTCAATCTTTATAATCCTACCAGGTGGAACTCTTAATTTGGATAGGGTATATTGTAGCCGCGCAGATTATTGACTTCTGCATCATATTTCTGTTTGTCAGATTTGATTTATTGCATTTTATTTATATTATTTTATTTTTCTTCTTCTTATTATTTTTTTTTTTATAAGGGCCGGGTATCTTTCAGTCGGGCAGCTCTCGACTCCAGCCGAATGCAATTTGTAGCAAATGAAGCAACTGAAAGTTATAAAATATATATTGATTTTTTGTTGTCGCTTCTTAAGTTGCGTCAACGAACTAGTCGCTTGTTTTTGCAGAAGCTTAGTTTGTGGGGCGGCTTTGGCACTTTATGATGGGGAGTTCAGAGAGAGAGAGAGAGAGTTCGACCATGTGCGTATTACCGTATTATTTTTACAGTTAGCTGCTTTCCGTTTGCCATTTAGCTTGTCGTTTAACGGCAATTTAATGGGCTTATTGTTCTGTTGTTGCGCAATAAATCTCGGTTGACTAAGTCGAAGTCCAGCTAAATAAACTATGCAGCCTACAAAGGTTACCCCTCCGTGCCGCCCTCCGTCACGAACCACCCCTCGCCGTAGCCCTTTGCCTGCAGCCCATTTGTTTTACTCCCGGCCAACTCGATTTGCATGCAAATTGCGTATAAATCCTTGAGTCGTTGCCGTTCCTGTGCTGCTTAGGTCCTGGCTTTAAAGCGTGGGCGTTGCATGCACTCACGAGGCAAGACTCACGATGCACGACTCACGAGAGCACGACAAATCATTGGCAATAGCTGCCACAAAACGCGGCACGAACTTTCCTTTCTTCTCGATTTTGCTTTTCATTTCTTTTCTTTTTTATCTCTTCTCTTTTGGTTTTTGGCTATCGTCCCGTTCGCGGTCATCTAATGGCCGAAGCGTTTACTTTTAATTAAAAAGTTCTTTTCGGCCAGCCAAGAGTGAATTAATGAGAAATGGCATCGCGCACACGCTGAGCGCTAACAATTCAATTTCGCCAGCGCTTTCAATGTTGATATTTGTCCCGAAACTTTTGGCAGATGCTGCCGCCATCCACACTTAATTAGTGCGCGCACACGACCTGGCCGACATTCCTCAGCCCGGCCACAATGATAGCAGGCCCAGCCCAGCTTCACACGGCACCGCACCGCATATTGTACGAGTGGGCCAGCCGAGTGAAAGGAAAATAGCAAATTTTTAATGATATTGAGTTTGCCTTTCCTGCTCTTATCATCTCTGGGCCCTGTGGAGGCGGTGCAGACAGGCGCCTCCAGGCAGAAACTCTCGAGCTTGCCTTGGTGTCTCAATTCACAGGCCAATGGGCTTGAGTAAACCATATGGAGTCCTTACTTCTCCAAGGACTTTTTATCTGCCCAGTGCGCATCTGCATCCACAACTAGAATCTGGCTTACAGATATTCCAAGTTAGTTTTCGAATGGAATTCGTGCAACAACTGAATTCTGGGAATGCTCATAGCTCTAATACGTCTTTTGTTTATTCTGCAAATCTATTTTCATCTACCTCGACTACTAATATTTTTATACCCTGAACCCATTTTCAATGGGAAATCAGGGTATAATGGTTTTGTTGAAATGTATGTAACAGGGAGAAGGAGGCGTGGCAGACCCCACAAAGTATATATATTCTTGATCAGGGTGACGAGCTGAGTTGATTTGGCCCTGTCCGTCTGTCTGTCCGTCTGTCCGTCTGTCCGTCTGTCCGTATGTATGAACGCGTCGATTTCAGAAGATATAAGAGCTAGAGACTTCAAATTTTTTTAAAATGTCCGTAATTACAGCGCGCATATCAAGTTTATCATTAAAAATCGATAACTCATCTCGATATTTTTTTATCGATAAAAACCCTTATCGAAACCCAGTTATAAAATTATATCTTCTACACCTTTATTGCTAGAGTCTCCAAATTTTTAATGTATGCTTATATGCAATTTATACAATTTCGGTTTTTGTTAAAATTTACCCCCCACCTCTAAATTCACCCCCTCACCCTCACTTTTGTAAAAAGCGTATTTCAAATACTAGAGACTTGTGCTTTGGCAATTACATGCATATTCATGTTATAATCATAATCTAAAAGTTTCATGAAGATCGTACGTCCATAAAAAAAGTTATTAAACAATTAAGTTCTCATAGTAAGCGCACACTGCAGCCCATGCGTGTTTATGCATGGTTGCTTGTGTGTGTATGTGTTTGTGTATGTGTGTGTGTGTATGTGTGTGTGTGTATGAGTTTGTGTATGTATGAGTGTGTGTGTGTATGTGTGTCTGTATGCGTGTGTGTGTATGTATGCCTGTGTTTGCGTACGTGCGTGTGTGTGTGTGTGTGTGTGCGTGTTTCTTGTGTAAGCTGAAAGTCGCGAAAAAGTATTGAAATATCTATTGCTCCAAGGGTTCAGGGGATCTCGTAGTCGAGCAGTCTCGACTAGAGCTTTCTTACTTGTTGCTAGTAATTTTACTTATACTC